TTGGAGGGGCTGTAAGTAGGTTATAGGGAGGGTTACAATTGGGGTAACTCCATTTAGGGTACTTATAACTCTACTTGCAGCCATACTTACTAAGTCCCTTGAACCTCCAAGTAGGGTTTAAAATTGAGGGTTTCAGGTTGAGCTTTCTTTGAAGGTTGGGGAGTTGAAGCTTGAAAGCGCCGCTTTGGGCCCATGTTGCGGTAGACGTCCGTTGCCGCCTCCATGAAGGTCACGACGTCTCCCTGAAAAAGGTGCTGGACCTTATCGTTGGCACGCAACGTGAGGAAAGCGTCCATGAAAATGGCAATTTTTTTGCCGAGCACCGCCCTTGAAAACCCAAGCTCATCCTCTGATGGCTTTAATAACACAATCTTCGCCACCGTGATCTCCATCAATCGGTGGTTGTTCCAGTGTGAAAAGCCATGGAAGGCCTTGAACTCAGGGGCTAGAATCCCGACTGACACAGCTGCCACATCAACGCCACACTGAGGGAGGGAGGAGTTGTGGTAGGCGTCGTGGCAGTCCTCCTCTGCAGGGCCGAGACTTCAAAATTTGACGGTTTAGGGTTCAGTATAAGGGGTTAGAACTCGGTGTTTGATGGTTTAAGGCTCCGGTCCAGGTGCTTGCGGCCTGGATTCATGTTTACGTCAGCCAGCATAGTGCGGATTGAGATGCCCTGTAGCCCTAAGGGAACTCCAGAAAGTTGGAATGTGGTTTCAGGGTGGGATACCTTATAATTTACCATAAAGGGTTTAGGATAATCATATTCCAACTTTCTGGCGTTTACCTTAAACCGTAAACCCACACCTTTGGGCGTGGGGTTGACGCTTCTCCTCTGCCTGCTGCTACTTGTATCACTTAACTCCGACTGCCATAACCAGGAATAAGAACCTTGCACTGGATTCCCCCCAAAACCTGAACTAAACCCTAAGCCATGGGCATAAGAAAACTTGCACAAAGCAAACCATCAGAACTCCAAAGTACGGTACTCCGCCTCGCGCTTCTCGCCAAGTGCGGCATATTGGGGCAGGGCTCGGCCTTCGCCAGCCAGGAGAAACGGTGGTACTGCTGATGGACAAAATCCTGCATTACCCATCATAAGGAATATACCATATTTCCCATAGTTTCGGAATATACCATATTTCCCATAGTTTCGGGTCCTTATAAGGTCATGCAGGTTTTATATCATCAACCGTAGTTCTGGAAGTCAGGGTCCCTTTGAGGATCCGTTTTATTAAATTGGGCGCTTGTCAGACTTATGGTCCCTTTTTGGGCACCCTGAATATTAGGTGCCGTACTATATTAGGGACCCAAAAAGGGACCAATTTTGACAACCACCCTTATTAAATAAGGGTGCCGTGCTATCTTGCTAATGTAAGGAACTACCCCCGTGACAAGCAAACTGTAAGCACAGCTTGCAACGGAGACATGTACACTACACTTCGTGCCTCCAGCCCACCTGGACCCCAAAAGTAGCCTTCTATAGGTGGTGGGCCATTAATTTACCTACTGTTGGGTGTTTAGGTAGGCAATTAGCCCCAACCTATATTTTGCAATCTGAAACCCTAAACCATTACATGCTTCGCAGTTTCGGGCTCAAAGCTTTGAGAGGACGCTCTGCCCAGGCTCCTGGCGAAGGTCTAACGCCGCTTCCTCGGCTTGCGGAAGAAGCTTCGGCGAAAGCCCCTAAACTGTAAACCCTAAAACCCTAAACCCGAACACCCTAAACCCTAAAGCCTCAAACAAAAAGGATCATGAGATCGAATGAAGATCTTCTTTGGGCTCCTTTTCAAGGGGTCTGCAAGGGTTGCTCGGCACAAGGGCCTGAATGGAGGTTTAGAGTTTCATGGGTCTTGGTGTATGTCATAGCATAACTACTTTGAGAAGGAGCCCTAAGGCATGATGCTGGCAACACTCCGATCCTATGGTTTAAGGTTTGTAAGGGTCGATGGGGTCGTATGCAGGTTCTCTTGGAGTTGAATTAACGGGTGAGCCAGTACTGGTGTTCGAACGAAACACCAAACATAAACACACACACGCACACACACACACACACGCACGCACGCACGCACGCACGCACACACTCACGCACATCCCTCAAAAACAATTGTGTAAGTCCTCTCTAACCCTGAGCTTAAAACCAGAAAACTGGGTCATGTCTAACCCCAAAAATGCCCCTGCCCTTCACTGCGGAGGTCCCCCAGTGAAGTCTATACTTAAAGGATCAACGGACTTCGTAACTAGGGTTATTGCTAAGGTAACTGTACTTATAGTTACTTATAACCGCAATTAAGGTACTTTTAACCATACTTAGTAAGTCCCATGATCCGGGTTTAGGGCCTTAGGGGTTACTTCAAGGCTCATGGGGCTTAGCACTGTAATAAGTAAGGCTAGGCTCGGATAACGCACTGAAAACCCTAAGAATGACCCTACTTACAAAGTCCCTTGAGCCCTGAAGTATTCCCTAAAGCCTAGCACCCTATGCTGTTCCTTCTAGGTAAACAAACCCTCAAGTCGGTCCCAAAAAAAGCCGAGGGTCCATGGTGTCTACACTCATCTCCACAGCGCCGGAGAGCTCCAGCACCACGTCCTCACCTGCAGCGCTGATATGGCAGCTTCCGGAAATTAGGGGTACCTTATTTGGGGGTCCTTATAATAAGGATGCTACTATTTAGGGTACTATGCTTGGGTGCCCTGTTTTCGGAAACTCCCATATGGCAGTTTCCGGAAATTAGGGATACCTTTAAAGGGATCCTTTCAAGGCTCTCCGAAAACTAGGGGTACCTTATGTTTCGGGGTTCTCACCTGCGGGGTTAATAGGTTACTTGGGTCCCTAAACCCGAAACTCTAAACCCTAAACCCTGAGCTTTAAACCCTACTTTAAAGGATCAGTTGCAACACTGCTGCTAACATCAAGACCTTTGTGCCAATGTTGCCAACGCCGCTAGTGCTGCCGCTACCCATAGGCTCCATAGTAGTTCTTTTTTTGGGATTCATATTTAGAATCCTATAAGGTAATCCCAAAAAGGAACTACTATGGAGCCTCTGGGCACCGCCACTCCTACTGATTCTGATACGGCTACCTGCTGCTGCTACGCCTGACCATGGTTACCTCGAGCTTGTGTATCTCGTAGCCGCGTGAAGCCGCGGGCTTCGGGTGTATACGGATTTAGGGTTTTAGGGTTTTAGGGTTTAGGGTTTAGGGTTTTAGGGTTTTAGGGTTTAGGGTTTAGGGTTTAGGGTTTAGGGTTTATGGTCGCATTTTGGTCTGCTGTCGGTCTTCCACATCACAGGAGTGGCTTTGCCAACTGGTGAAACCATCATCAGACACAATGGGATGTGCCCAGGGTTTCTGGCGTGGGGTCCAGAAGCCTTCAACCCTACACCCGCTAGGGCCTAACCCGAAATCCTCACCCCTACAACCTGAACCCTAAACCCTTATCCTGAACTCCAAAACCCTACACCCTAAACCCGAAATCCTGAACCCAAAACCCTACACCCTAAACCCGAAATCCTAAACCCTGAACCCCTACACCCTGAACCCTACACCCTAAACCCTAAACCCTGAACCCCTACACCCTGAACCCCTAAACCCTGAACCCTACGAAGTCCATGAGCCCGGCAGTTTTGGGGGAACCTTCCACCTCGGCTTCGAGCCCTATGACTCCATGTACCCATATGGGCGGTTGTCAAAATTAAGGTCCCTTTAAGGGTCCCTTTAAAGGGATGTATAGGGATTCTATAAGGGTATAGGGTTTTGTCAAAATCAAGGTCCCTTCTTGGGCACCCTACATATTATCTGCCGTACTATAATCGGGACCCAAAAAGGACCGTAATTTTGACAACCACCCATATAGTAGGTACTGAGGCCAGCCCAATCCGAAAGGCGAAACTGAAATCCGACAGCAACAAAGCTTACATCCTCGAATTCAGAGAGCCCCAATACCACTAAATTAAGGAATATGGCTTAAATGATATAGGGATTAATATTATGATTTAAGCTATATTGCTGAATTCAGGGGTTATTGGGCTCTCTGGGAACCCTACACCGGAACAGCCAATTCTCAACTCTAGAAACTGAACTCTAAGACCCGGAACCCCCGAGCTCCACCCCAAAGGGGAGATCCGGTAAAGACTGGCTTCTTGACCAGCTGTGAAACCGGGGCTCTGTCGATTTAGTCGTTCTTTGGATTTGGGGTTTATGGTTTAGGGCTGAAGGGTGAGGGGTTAAGAGTTGAGGGTTTAAGTTTTAGGGTTTAGGGTTTAGGGTTTGGGGGTTAAGGTTTATGCATTAGGTTTCTTGGGGTTGAAAACTTATGGGCTGAGAACCCCAACCTTATAAGGGTTCACTTTTTCGTTGGGGTAGGAATGTATACACCCCCAAAAGCCAATCGTTACCCATTCAGCCGCAGGGTTTGAGGCCGGGTGCTCTCTTGGCTCTCATGCGTTTAGGGGTGTCAGGCTTGGGGTTTCGTCGAGACTGCGGGCACTCCGGATTTGTATGGGCTGAAGGATTGCTGTCAACTCCGCATGGATTTTCTACAGAGTTCTTAGGTTTCCATCGGGATTTCTGAGTTTCTACCGGGCGCTTGTCAGATTGCAATTCTTCTACCTGGTCTCGTTATATACGGTCACTACACCATTTCTATATTCCGGCTCGGGCTTGGTTTACGGTCCAAGGTTTGAAATAGCTGGCTGAAGAACTTGAAAAGGGCTTAGGGTTTAGGGTCGCGTGTTGCAATTTATACTTAGACAAGACTATAATGACTCATTTGTCAAACCTCTCTACTAAAGTCTTTTACAAGCCTGTAAACACGCCGGAAACACTTGAAAGCCCTTCTGAGACCACAAATTTCCCTATTTCAGATTCATACAGGGGTCGGTTAAACAGATTTGCCCGTCATCGTCCCTAGATATTACAATACTCTGCCAAGCCGTAAGCGAACTTGTCAGGTACTTACGTGTTTGAGAGGGTGCTGGATCAGCTGCCTCAGGAGTCCTCAGACGCGCATCTTGGTGTCCTGGTTTAGGTTTGAGGTTTGGTGAAGTTTTAGGGTTACCGGTCACGGTTTAGGGTTCAAGGTTTAAAGGCGTGAGCCCAGGACGTTTAGGATTTGGATTTGGGGCGAGCAGCAGCTATGCTGTATTCCCTCGGATAAAAACCCCAAAGTCCTAGACCCTTAAAATCCCATACCGTGAACCCTAAAATCCTAGACCCATAAATCCTAGGCCCTAAAACTCTAAACCTGTCAACCCTAAACCTAAACCCTAAAACCCTAAACGCCTAAACCCGCAAAGCCCTTTCTCAGCTCTTTGGAGAAACCAAGAAGGAACCCTAGGGCTCAGGAGCTCAGGGTTTTAGGGTGTAGGGTTGAGAGGTTTAGGATTTAGGGTTTAAGGGTTTGGGGTTCAGGTTTAAGGGGTTTTGGGATCAGGGTTTAGGGCTTCGGGTTTCGGGTTTCCATAGCCCCTATTTCTGTGCTCCTTGTCTGGGCAGGTGCCGGCCCAGTTCCTTCGCGCCAGGGTGGAACCGCGCATGCGCCCATCCCAGCCAGAATCCTCGCTGCCGAATGACTAGGGGAACTATACCTAGTAACTAGTGTTATGTATGACTAGGGTAACTCTACATATACATACGTATAGCCCCAATTCAGGTGTTTACAACCATACTAACTAAGCCCCATGATCCCCGAAGTAGGGCTTTGGGTTCAGAGTCTCGGCTCCCAAAGAATCGGTGGTTTTGAGGATTCGGGGCCTTGGGTTTCAAGCCCGAGGTTGAGGACTTTAGAAGGATTTTTGCCAAGTTCGCCAAAAGGCTCTGAACGGATGTATAGAGCCGTACAAGTACTTCAAGGGACTTAGAAAGTAAGGTTACCAAGCACGGTTAGATATAGTTTGGATAACACTGCTTACTACTTGGGGGACTTATAAATATTTCCACAATACTAACCCTACATACTGACTCTACTTACTAAGTCTACTGGGCCCTTATGACACCCTTGTCGATCCCTTTAAGGATCCCCTTAAGGAGCCCTACTTACTGAGTCCCCTGGGCCCTTAAGAAACGGAGGATCGGAAGGACAAGAAGTTTACTGTCCTCGCTCTGAGAGGAATCAGAGGTGGGGTTTTGGGGTCGTAGGGACTTGGCTTTAGTGTTTAGGTTTTAGGGTTCCGGGTGTAGGGTTTAGGGTTTGGGGCTTAGGTTTTTGGGTTTACCGTCGGGGCTTGATGGATTGAAAACGAATGAATGGGGCCCCAAAAAAGCACATAAGCAAAAATTAGGATAGGGATATCCCATATAAATCCCCTTATAATGAAGCCCAATAAGGTAGGGATATCCCCATCAAAATGCTTATGCTTATGTGCTTTTTGGTTCCCTAAGTCTTCGGGGTTTAGACTGGGGGGCTTCAGTGCTTCAAGGGATTTAGCTGCTCCCTCGACCCTGGAGCTCAAGGGCCTTAGGGTTAAGGGCTTTCGGTTTCGGGTTTAAGGGTTAAGGTTTAGTTAGGGTTTAGGGTTAAGGGCTTCGGTTTCGGGTTTAAGGATTAGGGTTTATGGTTTAGGGCTTCGAGTTTGGGGTTTCGAGTTTGGGGTAACCGCTGACGCTGCCATCCACACCCTAAATCTCCACACTTTGCATTGTACATTCCAAAGCCCGTAAACCTCAAAGCGCTGAACCAAAAATCCTCAACCTGCAGCCTCTTCTGATGGGAGGCCCCAAGGGGGGTTTAAGATTCTTGGGGTAGGGATTCCTTAATATGAACACTATTATGGGAACCCTAATCCCTACCAAACCCCCATAGGCTAAAACCCCTTTTGGCCTCCTATGGTTCACGCCTCGCAAAGTCTCGCAGAGTCGAAACTCTATCCCGAACCATGGACTACCTGGACCCTAAGGAACCTGCCTTTTTAGGGTTCCCTAATATGATTTCTTTACATAAGTCCTTCAAAAGGTAGGTTACTTGGGGTTAAGGTATTCTAAACCATAATCCCAAAGGGTCCAAGTGCCAATATAGTAACTAGTTGGTAGATATATGGGCCGCAAAAGTGAAAACTTAGACCGTTTGGGACTCACAAGGTCTGGGCAAGTCTTAAATCAGTTCGTGACTAGTTCTAGATTACCCAGACTTTTTTTTGGAAGGTCTGGACGGGTTTCGGGGTTTAAGGTTTCACGGTTTAGGGCTCCAGGGTCTACGGCCTAGGGTAGTGAGGTTGTAATCAGGTCCATTCAAAAGTCCCCATGAGAACCTTGCGTACCGGAGTTTCCGAAAACAGGGGACCCTAATATAGCACCCTAAGTAGTAGGATTCTTATTATAGGGAGCCCAGATAAGGTAGCCCTAATTTTCGGAAACTCCCAATTGAATCCCCAGCCCCAGCCCCAAATTACGATTTCTAGAGTGACAACCACCGCCATGAACCCACTACCAGGAATAATGCAGGAATCTGATCAAGAAACCTTGGGCCTTTTCTTAGGGTCCCTGAACTGAAGCCTACTAAGGGTTATAGGCAAAGGGTTTCCTAATCAGGTTCCTACATTACCTTAAATTATGTTAAGGACCCTGCTAAAAATTTAATATATATTCGATAAATAGGGGATTTTGGAAGCTCTGGGTACCGCCCCACCCCCGCGGCCAAAGCCTCCCCGAAACGGCGCGTAGCCAAGCCATGGAACGGGGAAGCCTTGGCAAAGACTACATTGCACCAAGATGGAGGGGTCTGGGGGTTTTGGGTTTAACTAGGAATCAGGGTCTAGGGTCTAGGATTTAGGGTTTAGGGTTTGGGGTTCAGAGTTTAGGGTTCAGAAAAGTATTGTGCTGCCGGGGCTCAGGTGTTGGGATTATCCATGAACCCTGAACTCGTAACCGCATTGAGGTTCTACAACACTTGCCGGGTCTGCTGTGATTCAACCACGATTTTCTTGGAAATGTGACTGAAACTGCTGATGGACAAAATCCTGCATGACCCGTTATAAGGAATATGCCATAATTCCCATAGTCTAGGGTCCTTAAGGTCATGCAGGATTTTGTCCATCAACAGAATGAAGCAGTTCAGGGTTCAGCGTTCCGGGTCTTAGGACGGCGCGGATAACGGGACCAGTGGGTACACGCTCGAGGGTTGGAAGCGTTGCTAAACCAGCCGACTGAAAATCCAAACACATGGGTAGTCAAAATTATGGCCCGTATCTAATAGGGACCCAAAAGGGGACCATAATTTTGACAACTACCCACATGAACCCCCAACCCTAAACCCTAAACTCAACACCCCAGACACCCCACGAAGTCAGGGAGCTTCCCAGAAAGCCCAATTATCCCCAAATTGGGAATGCTACTTCAAATATGTACACGCGTCTCGTTGTGTAAAAGAACACATATACGAAGGGGGTATTGGGCGACGAAACGAGGCTGCAGGTGTTCAAAGCATTCGAGCATCCATCGGAATTGGAATTATAGGGATAGTTCGGGGCTTCCCCTAAATCCCAAACCCCGAAAGGTCCGCAGAGGAGTCGCTACATCTAGCATCTCCTTCGTGATCTCAGCGGTGAGTTCTCGTGAGACGACTTGGGGTATCGAAACATCATCGTCAGTGCATCTTCTGCACACTTCAATGGTCGCGCCTAGTACGAAACAAGCCAATGCACAATTACTGGCTGCATGGGTTCCCAAACAAAACTCTTTTAAACGGTTTGCCAATAGAATTTCCTAGGGGATCTTGCCAGGCTCGCGAAGAGAGCTAAGCTCTAAACCCTAGTCCGTGATCCCTCAACCCTACGTGAGGGGTCATGTCACGTTCGTACACAAATTCATTCTGCCTGGGTGTTGAAGTATCCTAAGGTCCTAAACGGGCTTTGAAGTATCCTAAGGTCCTGAATGGGCTCATGCCACAAAACTACGGAAAACACTGCAAGCATTAAAGGGATGCTACTTCCTGGAGATTAACATACCTTGGGCCCACCACCCCCCAGCCCTTCCGAAAGAAAGACCCTTGAAACCTCCAAAGCCCCAAACCCAAATGGAAGCCCGTCTGCGATACCCCCAGAAACAACCTCCAAAAAGCCAAAAAAAGTCTCAAACGCCCTAAACCCTAAACGCTTAGACACCAGCCCGTAAACCCTCGTGGCACATTCGACAGGAGCCCTTGAACTCGGAGCAGCCCTGAAAAGCAACCGTATTGTAGAACCCTAGAGTACCCATTAAAGCGAACCCTGTTACGGAACCGCATAGCGAAGGGAACCCTACTACTATTGTAGAACCATATAATAGCCTTTAAAGGGAACCCTGCTATAGAACCCCATAGTACCCATAGAGGGAACCCTCTTATAGTACCCTAAAGTACCCTTTAGAAGAACTCCTAAACCCTGATCCCTAACCCTTAAACTTTTAAACCCCCTCTAGTACCGCCTACTTGGAGGATCATGGGACTTAGTAAGTATGATTATAAGTTCCTGAATTGGGATAAAAAGTAACTATAAGTATAGTTACCCTACTAATAACCCTGGCTACTAAGTCCCATGATCCTTTAAGTACTTCAGGGTTCCTTGAAGAGCCCTTTAAGGCTCAAAGAGGAGCGAAAAGACCCCAAACTCATTTCTGCCCAGGCCGCTGGTGCCCCGTTGGCGCCCGGCAGGAGCGAAGCGCCAGCTAAAGCCTGCGACTTTTTGGAGGGGTTTGGGGTTATAATCAAGAATGATAAATCTAGAATATCACATGATATGATAAAATTTAACATAATCTTTTACTATGTGCGACTATGATAGTATATAGAAAAAAAAAATATATATATATATATATATATATATATATATATATGCTACCCCCCCCCCCCAGATACCAATAGAATTGTGTGTTTTGTGCTCTAAACCCTGCAATTCATGACACCAAGACACTCGAAGGTCTCAGATACTTCTAGTGCACGACCAGAAGGTGATTTTGTTCATCCCCTAGATCCCGCAATTCAAGACGCATGCATCCAGGAGGCGCTTAATGCAGGGCCAGGCAAGCCTGACTACATTGATGCCATACACATACAGGATGCTTCAGCACATGATAGGTAGTAACGGTTTAATGGCACCCTCTGTATTACTTAGACGTGCCTCTAATCTATCACCCATCCTTCCTTATCACACGCTAATAATAGTACAACCCTAACACCAACAACTGCCACTACCACTCCTCCTCGTGCTGCTGCTGCTATTACTGCTACTACCACATTACTACATGTTTAGTTAGGTCTATGTGTTTCAGCGTCATTCCACATCTTGCCCCAAATGTATCCAGGCGACCTTTTCCTAGACCATGTCTTCTCACCGTATTGCTCCTAAATTTCGTATCATGATATTAAGTTAAATCCTGTCACATATCCAACTATTATCAAGATGGTCATAACAAACCATCACAAGAACCGTACTACGACTACAATCTACTACTGATACTACTACTACTACTACTACTGCTGCTACTAACTACTACTACTACTACTACTGCTGCTACTACTACTGCTACTATCACTACTATCACTACTACTACAACTGCTACTACTACTACTACTACCACTACTAGTCAATCCATAGTATTAAACACGATTACACTGTACATTTATCCTGTTATACTACTACCGCCATACCCTTATGCTAATCATCATATTCCTGCCACAATGCCTTAAGCAAGCTTTTCCATCCTATCATAAATCAAAAAGCTACCCATATTTATGGGTTTAGATGTAATTAAGGACACAGTCTTAACATATCATTCACTTACATCAGTCTATCTCATTTACCTAACACACGTAAACAGTGCTCACTGAAGTAATCAAATATCACACTCATCACACTAAACATAAAACGTCAGTGAGACTGGCAACCAGAAACAAAACACACCCTTCTACCATCTCCAACAAACACTTACAAAAATAAGGGTACATTAACTAATCATAGTGAACCCCAGAAAGTTGGAACATTGATTTAGGGTGATTAGTGTTTGATTTACTTTGCCTGTAGTATAAGGGCATTAAGATACTGATGTTTCAACTTTCTGGAGTTCACTGTAGAATAATTTACAATGAAACCAAATCTCAAGTTGACGGCAAAACAAAAATCTGCTGTAAGTCAAAGCTAACAGAGCGCGAGAAGAAAATCTGCAGTGCGTTTTGCGCGGGCGCCGCGCGTGACGGAAACCTTCCAAAAGATCGTTTGATTGAGACAGTACAGTGGTTTCGTTAATTTTATTGTAAAAGTGCTGTACTGTCCCAAAAAAATCCATCCTTTTTTGCAAAAGTGCTGTACTGTCCCAAAACAACCAAAAAAAAACAATCTTCTACAGTCTTGGAGCAGCTGCCGTGTAGGGTTTCTTGCAAAAAACACTGTACTGTCCCAAAAAAAACAATCCTTTTTTGCAAAAGTGCTGTACTGTCCCAAAAAAACCAATCTATTGGAGGCCGCTACACGGCAGCTGCTCCAAGACTGTAGAAGATTGTTTTTTTTTGGTTTTTTGGGACAGTACAGCACTTTTGCAAAAAAAGATTGGTTTTTTGGGACAGTACAGCGCTTTTTCTAGTTTGCGGAGAAGTGTGATGCAGAGCGAGTACTCAAGTGCTGAGCATCCTGCTGCTATACTCAAAGTGGTGCAAGCGCCCTCTAAGGCCACAAAACGTTCATGGAGAGTTTTGTCACAAGTCTCAGCCAAGAGGGTGCTCGAATGCTCTGTTTTTGTCTCATGGTGCTGCCTGCAGAAGGAAAACACAGGAATGTATTGGTAATTGGGGGGGGTTACTATATATATATATATACACACACACACACACTTTGAAAAACAAGATAGAACAGAATAGGACAAATAAACATAATAGAAAATAAGATCATGTAAGACAATAATAATAAAGCAAAATGATGTATCACAATGTTACATAAAATGCTGAAATATAGTGTCATGACGTATTGTGATACGAAAAGCACAATAAAGTATAATGTACTATAGTACATACAGTGTAAGGAAAACTATTCCCGTACAATAGTGGAGTATAATGTCTGGTATAGTAGGGCTTCACGGTTTAGGAGTAGGGTTTCCGGCTATGTGACACTCTAGTCGGAAAAGGAACTGTAAGATGACATTATTACCCTAAACCCTAAACCCTAAACCCTAAACCCTAAACCCTAAACCCTAAACCCTAAACCCTAAACCGTTTGGGGTGTTGCGGCTTCGGGTCTGAGGGCTTGAGGGCTCGAGGCTTTGCCCGAAAGGTTTGTTGTTGGGGTTCGGGGGGTAGGAGGTTTAGGGATCGCCTTGGAACCCATAGCCGAAATATGAAACATCTACTGAACCCCGGACCCCAATGGCTCTAATGATTAGAGTGTGGTTTGGGGGGGTTAAACTGTAGTGATAAAAAGGACTATAAGACTATAAGAAAACGTGTTTCCAGTTGTTCCGACTCTATCTGATCTTGAAACCCCATACCCCCAAAAACACCCTGAGCCCCTAAACAAAAAAACCATCGAGGAAACTGAGGCCCTAAACCCGAAACCGTAGAGCCTACAACCCCAAACCCTGAACCCTAAACCTGAAAGTCTAAACCTCTAAACCCTAAACCCCAAAGCGTACTTGGAGGATCATGGGACAAAGTAAGTATAGTTATAAGTACCTTAATTGGGGTTATAAGCAATCAAAAGTATAGTATAGTTACCTTCAGAATAACCCTAGTTACTAAGTCCCATGATCCTTGAAGTACGACTCTAGGGGATTCCTCAGAAGCCACCTTGCAAAACCTTCCCGCCACGCGAGGAGCCCTTAAAGGGAACCTACCATTGGAACGCTACAGTACCCCTGGCAGGAACCCTATTTCAGGACCCTACTAGAAAGCCCTACAGCACCCTCTAAAGGAAACACTATTTCAGAACCCCACAGTGCCCAGCCATTGGCACCCTGTCAAGAGAACCCTATTATAGCACCCTATTAGGGACCCTAAGCCCCTTTACAGAACCCTATAGCACCCTTTAAGGAGACCCTAGTAACCTAGTACACAACACTGTAGGGGAGGCTTATTTTGGAACCCGATTAGATTAGGGAACCCTGCCCCATGTAGAGCCCTGATTAATAGGGTCTTGGGGCGCATTATTCTATAAGGAACCCGCAAAGTAATTCTTTAGGCCCCTATACTAAGCCCGCAAACCCGAAACCCTGAACCCTAAGAGTCCTTAAAGAGCCCCTCCCAAAATAGTATAGGTACTTATGAAAGCCCCATATATTAAAGCTCTAGAGTCCCCTGTGTGGCCTTCGGGAGGCTCTGCGTTCTATGCAGAGTCGCCTTCTGCTCGTTCCAATCCTTTTCGTGTGCTGTGGGTTTAGGGTTTTCGGGGTTCGGGGTTAGGATGTAAGGTAATTCGAAGTTATATAAGGGCTTAGGGTTGTTTTGTGGGGGGGGGGGGGGGGGGTTTAGGGGTTTAGGGCTTAGGGCTTTAATGGTGGCTTTCAGGGTGTCCTTGTCAAGGCTTCCTTTGAGGCCACCTACAAGGGTACGGGGACCTTTAGGGATATAACTTGCACTTCCTTTTTGGGGTTTAGGGTTTAGGGTTTAGGGTTTGGGTCTGGCGGGTCTTGGACTTAGGGAGTCGGAACTGTGCACCTCAAAGCAATCCCGATGCCGAAAGCGTAGGCCTGTCAAGAATCTGGGCTCTTGTTAACCCTAGGGGTCTCAGGACTCTAATGTTAAGGCTTTTGGGCCCAAAGACCATACTATATAAGGCTTTCTAGCCATGTTGATGCCCAGGGTAAGGAAATCAATTGAGTCTAGTATTCAGTTGCAGCAACAACAGTTATGCAGGTTCTTTGTTATAGCGTAACGTTGCGGATGCCTGATCATGACCGCTTGCATTATCCGTAACACGAGCCCAGGAAATTATGACATGCTGCCAGCAATTTCCCTGCCGCGAGGTTCCAGGTTGGCTCACAAGGCGGGGCCCTAAACCCTAAACCCGAAACCCCAAAACCCCTAAACCCTAAACCCCTAAACCCTGAACCCCTGAACCCCTAGACCCTATCAATCACAAAGCTGTCCTTCACACACACATCTGGGCGTTTCCGAATATAGGGGACCCCAGTATAGCACCCCAAATAGTAGGATCCTTATTGTAAGGACCCCAACATAAGGTACCCCTAATTATCGGAAACTCCCATCTCGCTGTGGTTCTTACCGGCCAAGGTTGTCCTAGTTTAAGGTTCTTCTTTTCGAAAAATATTAGTAAATAAGATCCTCTTAAGCCCAATAAGCGAAAATATAAAATGTCCCAAAGCCCTACCTAGTTCTTGCTACCTCAACATCATCCGAAGTCCTGCTGTAAAGTTGTTCCTGGAACCGTAGGGATATGTAAGTCTCTCTGTACTAAGCGCCGAGCCCTAAACCTTGACGCCCAAAGCCTCACATCCCTAATGCCCTGGACCTCAAAAAACCTTAAAACCCCAAAGCCCAGAAACACTCCAAATACAAAACCTGACCCCCGCCCCCCACCCAAAGCCTGAAAACCGTCACCGAGAGTTTCCTGCACTGAACCACATCAATTGAGCCAAAGCACTCCGCTCGTGTCCAAGAGCTTCCGCCCACTTTTGCACCAATTCCTGGGCTCTGGGCTTGGGTTCCGTCGATGTTGCTGAACCCCCGGGTCTTGGAGTCTTTGAGTTTCGAGTTTAGGGTAAATGCAGGGCTCGCGGCCTGTTTGTTTACTAAGCTCAGGGCTTTGAACAACGAAACTGCAGGGTTTAGAGCATCAGTGCTTCAGGGCCTTAGGGTTGGAAAGGGGGGAGCTTAACACGGCACTGTTTCAGGAATGAGGATGTACGACTGGGTCTGAATTCAAGAAGCCGGTCGAATGAATCCTGAACCTTGCAAGCCTTAAACTTTAAACCGACTGACCGAAAGAACATCTGACCGCACATATGGAGGTCTTAGCAAAGACTCCCAAACCCTTTAGTCAAGGAATATCGGGATATCTCGTCAATTATAGTAAGCGCTTACATTACATAGTGCGAGATGTATTCCCTAATTCCAAAGGTTTGGGAGTGTAAATCTACACCAAAACTGCAATCCTAAGGCCCTTTAACCTCTTGAGACTGGCTGCCTGTCAGTTGTCAAAGAAACCGGGCACCGCTTCGACAGGGCTGAGGTTTAGGGTTATTTTCGGCTTTAGCTCCCGGCTTTCGGGAATAGGGTCTTCGGTTCTAGGGCTCCGGGTTCAGGGTTTAGAGTTTGGGTTTAGAGCTGCAGGGTTTAGCCTACCCCCAGACCTGCAGCAGAAACACAAACCGTGGCAACAAAAACCGACAAACACCTCCACCAAAACCCCTCGACCTAGGACCACATGTGTTCGGTGCAAAGCCCTTAAACCCGAACCCCTAAACCCTAAACCCTAAACCCTAAACCCTAACCCGAACCCTGAAAAGACCAAAGCCCAAAGCCACAGCTGCTGCCGTGAAGCCAACCCTTTCTTGCTTCTGCCGCCTCCTCTTCCTCCTGGCACCAGATTGTCGAAATCATATAGGGCTCATAAGAACAGAATAGGCTTTGATGTATAGTACAGTACAAACAGTATGCATTTGAAAAGGGAACCCTGGGCGAACAGCAATGGTAAGTATGCAGGCTTCTATATTACCAAGAAGCATGCATGAAAAATGACAGGAGTACTTGTTCCTGTTTTACCTGTGACTAGAACTCGTTGTTGGCTGATGACCATCGTCCACTTTCACATTAGGAATAATGAAACCATAAGGAATATTGTTGGTATTTCTTCAGCCATCTTATGTCATCTGCATCGATATATCATTGTCGCCCTTCTGGTCGTCGTGGGAGCAGTCGCGCTAGTCATAGAAGCAACAATAACTGTCCAATTACATTGGGACTATGAAAGTATGTCCTGAACCCTAAACCTTCAAACCCGAAAACCGCGTATCACTCCCCAAGCCGAAAGTCCTCGTCCCTAATCCGTCGACTCGTAACCCTACGCGAAAGCCGATCACAGGATTAAGGGTTTAGTTTAGGGTTTGGAAGGTTTGGGGCTTAGGGTGAAGGGAATCTTCAAAAAGCGTATGCCCTAAACCCTAAACTTGATGCCCCTCCCAAAAAATTGACGCCAACCCTTACTCGTCCCTATGCCTCTAGGGTTCAGGGTCCCTGAACCCTAAACCCTCCTAACCCCCCTAAACCCCCCTAACACCTAAACCCTAAAGCCCCCCTAAACCCACAACCAGGCCTTCGGAGGAACCGGCTCTGGCATGAAGTTCTTCCTTGGACGGGCTCTGATTTGGGCCTCTGGCTTCCGTAACTAAGAGAAGGAGGTTGAGAGTATAGGGCAGCTCGCAAAACCCTAAATCCTATAGCAAAATCCTAAAACCTGTAAACCCAAAACTTTGATTTGGGCTTCTGGCGTCTGTGGTAGCTCCCTTTCAAGGTTTAGGGCGCATTGTTTTAGGGTTTAAGGGTTAATGGGTTTTGGGTTTAGGGGCTTTGGGTTTAGGGTTTTTAGGGTGTAGGGTTTGGGGTTTAGGGTGTAGAGTTTAGGGTTTGGGGTGTAGGGTTGTTTGCTTCTGCGTTTAGGTCTTCGAGCTCCGATGATGAGCGGGAGACGTAGTTTGAGTAAGTAGCGTTAGGAGCAGGCCGCATGAATATTCTAGACCCTATATGGCGTTGATTCTAGAGCAAATTACGATCAGGCACCCTAAGAACGGTACTCCTAAGTCTTCATTCCCCTATATTCCTGGTAATCTCCACTTGCTCTTAGCCCCTCGTGTCCGGCTTGAAGCCTAAGACCTACCAACATTGGTTCAAACGGACACCGTCTGCTACTGCCCCTGCACCCTTATAGGGCCCTATAGCCCTAATCCCTGAGCCTGGGCACCTTTTTCATGCCGCTCGTTAAACAGGCTCTCGTCATGTACTACAGAATCAAGTCGAACCTTGGGAATTCAGTGGCTTTGGGATTCACTGTCGGGCCTTTTGTTGCCGTTGTGCGCATGGCCCGCTCTAGCTGGCGGCCCCACTATCCACAGCGGCACAAGTCCAGAGTGTAGCCGTCCAAGGTAGTCCACTGTGATGTCGCGCTTTTGGCAAGCTTGAGAAGTCTTCAAGGCTTTCGTCAGGGTCACCCTTCAGAACTTCGGTGAAGGGCATCATCACTGGCGTCAGGAATTTGTTGGTGGCATTCTCAACGGCCGGCACCAATGAAATCGCATAGAAGAAACCTGTGTCAATGGCCCAAACCGAGCGGCAGCAGTCTAACTCCATCACTTCAAGCCCATCGCTCGGAAGCGATCGCCAGAACTGAGCGAAGCCGTTCTCCGGAGACAAAAGTCCCCGCTCCCCGACCCCTTCCCAACCCAACCCGAATCCCACCAGCACCGAACCATAAGGGTACATAAGGCTACCCGAATCCTATGCCAGTTCAGACTATAAAGGTCTACGTCGGAACACTGTCTGCGGTGTGCTGGCAGCTGCATTCCCATATATGCGTCCAGTGCAAGAATACCACACGTATGTAGGAACCTGATTAAGAAACCGTAAGCCTTTATTCGGCTTCTCATAGGCCCCGGGTTTCTGAATCAGGTTCCTACATTACCACACACTACAGTCGAAACCCCTCAGCCGGAGAGCCCAAGCTCCCCCAATGCCGAAGACGATAAACTAAGGTCTACAACAGAAGCCCCCAAAACGCCATAGACTCAACCCTTGAGAGTAGTCTATGGGGAATCCCAACACTATTTGGCCTGACTCCGGTTTCCAACTTTATGGGGTTGACTGGCATGTTTGGCTCTAAACTTCCATCAGGAAACCCTGAGCAAAGAGTACTAGGCCCAGCATAATCTCAACCCTGCGCGCTAAACCCTACCAAAGAGCCCGAACTCGCAAACCGCGCCCGCGACCCCAAACCCCACAAAATAGCAGAGTATGGCCTCTTCACTGCAAGGTATAACCCTGAACCAGTAAGCTTCTGGATCCCGGCTCCTCTTTGGGGCTCGCAAGAGCAGAACGCCCTCCCAGGTAAGTGCACAGGTCTATGGGGTTCGCATCGGTCAAAATAAACCCTAAACTGCCCTAAACCCTAAACCCCATACCTCGAAAGCAGTAGGTCTCGTGGGTTTCTGGATGACAGCCCTAGCCCTTAAATCTTATTATTAAGCTTCCTACCAGATTTTCAGATGTATATTAACTGTATATTCCTCTTTTGAAAGGGTTTTGGAGTTTCTACCTATGGGTTTATAGGTCCCTTATAGCACCCTCTTTTCCACCCCTTTCTGGATGCCAGCCCCAGTGTCCTCTCCACGAATTTGTGTCGGCCCCGCACGGGACCACCTTCCTAGGGACAGGAGAAGTCTTGAAGTTCGGGGTTTAGGATTTGGGATCTATAGAGCTCCTTGAAGGGATCTATAGGGTTCCTTTCAGGGATCTATAGGGTTCCTTAACGGGATCTATGGGGTTTAGGGTTGTAGGGTCTACTTGGAGGGGCAGGGGACTTAGTAAGTAGGGTTATAAGTGGGGTTATGATTGGGGTAACTCCATTGAGGGTACTTATAACTCTACTTATAACCATACGTACTCCGTCCCCTGCCACTCCAAGGAGGGTTTATAGTTCCTTTATAAGGATCTGGAAGGGCTCCTTTACAGGGATCAATGATAAGGTTTGGGGTTCAAGGCTCACGGTTTGTAGGGCTGAAGGTTGATAAGTTCAGGGTTTACCTTAACCCCACGTAACCTACCTTTTTACAGACTTATATAAAGAAATCATATGAGGGAACCCTAAAAAAGGTGGGTTCCTTAGGGTCCAGGTAGGGCTTATGGACTTGGTGTGTATTAGGCTAAGGCTTAGGGTTGAGGGCTCGGGGCTCGGCTTCAGGGTTTGGAATTGGGGCGTGGGGGGGGGGGGGGGGGGGGGGATCTAGGGTTTAGGGTTTGGGATCTATAGGGCTCCTTAAAGGGATCTATAGGGTTCCTTAAAGGGATCTAGGGTTTAGGGTTTGGCAAAAGACATCTTGAAAGAAAAGCAAGAAGGCCCCATCCAATGTAATCAAGGTGTTGAAGAATCTCAAAAGACCCCGCTTCTTCAAGAGTTTCTCAGCTGCCTGTGACGACTTTACAAGGGCTTGAGATGGGGCAGCTGAAGATTCTGGTTTCTGTTCAGGAATTGAATGTGAGTTACCATTGTAAGGAAACCATAGTATTTACTGTAGATCCCTAGTATGGCACCCTAATTTCGAGAACGACCCCAAATGGAGATTCGGGGGTGTTGAGCCGGGCGAGGGTTCGGTGTGCGGGTTTTGGGGCTTTGGGGTCTAGGATTTTGCCCTGTTGTGGGCCCAAAAGGCGCGGGGGGGGGGGGGGGGGGGGCCAGAAGTAGCAAGGTACAACTACACCGCAGACCTTGGGCCTACCCATGGGAACAAACCCCAATTGAACTCCAAACCCGAAAAAGTTGCCCTAAAGTAGGAACCTGATTAAGAAACCCTGGCCCGATGACTCCAATATTTATATTTAAATAGAACCACAATAAAGACCCAAGGTTTCTTAATCAGGTTCCTACACTGACTAATGTAGTGGTTTAGTTTAGTGATTAGAACAGGGTTTTGGGGGTTCCTTAGGACACGTACAGTGTAAGATACTCCCAAACCTTATTCTAACTATTAAGGCCCCTACATTGTAGTACCCCCATAGTTTCCCTTATAGTAACCCTTATGAACCCTTTTACAGGAACCTTACTTTCTAAGTCCCATTACCGCCATTACCCTCCTTATAGATCCCTTTAAGGATCCCTTGAAGGAGCCCTTTAAGGATCCCTTCAAAGGAACCCTAGGAACCCTCATTAAGGCCCCTACAGTATACAGTTTCGGAGGCTCGCTGCCTGAACCGGCAGGTCTAAGCAGGAGAAGTCCACGTTCAGCTCCTTGAAATTCTCCCTCTTGGGCTTGACCTGGGATTTCTAGGGTTCGGGATTTTGACCTGGGATTTCTAGGGCTTTTTGGGTCGAGGATTTGTTTAGGGCGCATAGCTTAGGGTTAGGGTTTAGGCTCGAGGGTGTAGGCCTTAATTAAAGCCCAGGCCTGGACCCTAAACCCTAGACTCCAACTCCGACAGGGAACTCCAGAAAGTTGGAATATGGTTTCATGGTAGGATACCCTATAATTTACCATAGAAGGGTTAGGATAATCATATTCCAACTTTCTGGCTTTTACCTTAACCCCAAACTCCCAGAACCCCTTAAGCCCTGAAGCCCTGAGTCGAAACCCAGCAAAGCTCTAAACCCGAGCCTCATGGGAGTTTCCGATAATAGGGGATCCTGATGTAGGACCCGAAATAGTCTAGGATACTTGTTATAAATACTCCAAGGTAAGGTACCCCTAATTTTCGGAAACTCCCTCATACACAAAGTGTAACACCGGAAATTCTTAGCCCTCCGCTAGTGAGTGGCAAAAGGGTTCAGTTTGCTTTTCGTGGTTTAACACGTTTAGGGTTAAGGGTTTAGGGGTAACCACCGAAAATCGGCACTCCGCGAGTTAGTCAGTAGTTAGGTGGTGTTGAAGTTTGGCTTCAGGCTTTTGGGTGCTTTATTGTTTGGTGGTTTCGCGGTGATGCTTTGAGGGCTTTGGTTGCGAACGCCAGGAGGCCGGTCCTAGAGTAACAATCCCTAGGCCCCACACAAATTGCACCTGACAACTTAGGGTACTTTTTTTTCAATCAAATGGTTCCTATAATCGCCAAGAAGCAGCTAAAATTTCAATATTTTGAAAGTAGTCTAAGTTCAGTTCAGATACTGAAACACCCGCAGAGCCCAACAGTAATTAGAGAACACTACCGAAAATATCTAGGATCTCTCCAAGATCTACACGCAACACGGGCCTGAAGAAACAGAATTAGGCTTGTGCTCCATATGCTATACCATACTGTATTCATGAATCCGAAGGAGTGCTCACCAATGATACAGGCTCCTAAAGCAGCTCAACGAGCCCCCCCAACCCTAAACCCTGAAGCCCGAAAGCCTTAGCCTCTAGCGTTTGGGGTCTTGGGTTCAGGGCCCTGGGTTTGGGGTTTAGGGTCCGAGGACTTCATGTCATGGGACTAGGGCTAAGGATGTGGGTGATTAGGGCCGTCTGTCTTCGACTAGGAACCTCGTCGCTGAAGAGGATGTTCAAGATCTCCGGGTCGGGGTAGGTCCTGGCTCTTTGCATGAGCCGTACAAACAAAAGAGAGCAGTCCCATGACCTTTGCGGATCCAACATTAAAAAAAAGTCAGGGCTTTGTTCATCAGGGGGTTACAATTTTCTGAAAATGTCTGAAACCCAACATTTTCAAAAACCCATCAGCAAAACCCCAAACCCCAAACAACACCTGACCCTAAACCCCAAAGACCCCAAATTGCAATAAACCTTAAAGCCTAAACCCTACGCCCTAAACCCTAAGCCGTATTAGAAGCCCCATCTCTGCCGACACCCAAAGGCTTCACGCCTTAAACCCAAACCTCCGAAACAAAAGCACCAACAGCCTGAGACTGGGACTGGGAAGATTTGAGGTTTAGGGGCGTCATGGTCGGAGTCTAACATGGGAACCTGATTAACAAACCCTGGTTTTACTGGGGTTCTTTCTATGATCCCTGACGTTTTAGGGTTAGAGGGCCAAGGTTTTCTGATCAGGCTCCTACATGGGGTCCTGTGGTGTTTGGGGGGGTTCTACTATTTTTTACTCTGGCGGGACGATAAGGGCATAATATGACATATTATTCAAGCCCCTCGTGTGACAGTTTAGGTTTGAGATTTTCTAGAATCCTTTGAATAAGCCCTCAGCATGAGCACTTTTTCGGGAACCCTGGAACCATGGCTCTTCCACAAGCGCCGCTCTCAAAAGCATTTCTGCGGCTTCCGGACCCTTGACTGTCTAAAGCCCTGTAACATTCACCTTAACCCAGGCCCTAAAGAGAACCCCTTAGCAAGATCTTTTATGCTGGTTATCTACCATAAACCTGGACTTCAATATAAACAACACAGACCCGTAAATGACACCCCCCAGCCCTAAAGGCACAGAAGGATCCTCGTTTCGCCCCGCTCCGCGCGCAGGAACGACTCGACCTGTACGTTCGGAGTACAACAACCTGCTGGAACAGAGTTGCTAGAGCCGAACACTGGGACTGTAACGACAACGACGAGGATGATGATGATGACAGCCGATGGCAATGATGACCATGGCGATGATGAAGATGTCCATGTCCGCCAGGATGACCGTCATCCTCATCATGATCATGCAGGTCATGATGACTGTAGCGATGACAACCATGATGCCGATGATGATGATGACGACGATGACGGTGATGATGATAATCACACTTGTTCCGTTGACTGACTGGTTGAGTAAATGCTGTCACATTGGTATATTGAGTGGCACATTAAAAAGTCCCAGGTTGTGACTACAACCGAAATCCCAAAATTCCAAATGTTGCGAAGAGAAAGACCAATGAGGTCGGACTTCATCATTGCAATGTGAAACATATGGGGGCCTTACCTTTTGTTCGATCGGTGTTGATCCCTCATTGTAATGGGGGGGTACAAGAGGATACTATTTCTTATGTATTCATACCTTGCTGGGGAGACCCTGTCTTTTTAAAAGGATGCAAGTTGCAGGGAACCATCATGATAGTCCAGTGTTTGTATGGGGGAGTTCCGCAAATAGGCGGCCCTAGTATAATACCCTACATAGTTGAACACTTATTATTATTGAAAGGCTTTCACTACAGAAAGCTTCCAGAAAAACCTTGTCGTTGGCATACTTCTCGATTTGTGCAGCTCAGAAGGGGCTCACGGACAATGCACGGACAGTCCTACCTTCTCACCACACACAGACACGAAGTGAAAGTCAAAGCTAGTGCAGTCCTACCTTTACATGCCTACGGCATGCGACGGGTTTAGGACTATACTGCTGTTAAAGGAGCTTGCAGGCCTATAGTTCACATGTCCTCCGTCGTGACATGATCTTGAAAGGAAAAAACGTTGGGAGGCTGAGACCATTCACCAATTAGAAGGACCCCAAATTTAAGGTACCAGTACCCCGAACATTCGGAAACTCCCGTGTAGTGCTTATGGTTTACATGCGTGAAGGCTGTGGAGCGGCGCTTACCGGATCGATCATTGGACTTACCTTAAACTACTAAGTCCCAAGAGTAACCTAGGAAAAAAAAGGTGCCCTTTTTGGTTTAAGGGGGCTTATAAGGGAACCTAAACCCTAAAAAAGGAAATAAGGGCCTACTCTGGGTCCTAGCTACCATAACTTACTGGGTGTGTATTTTCTTATGACGAGCCCGAATACAGAATGTGTGAG